TCGGGGCTCTGCGTGCTGGTCAGCTGGCTGACCGCCTTCGCCCTCACCAAGTCCTTCCTGCTGGTGGTGGTGAGTGCCCCTGCCGGGGGCTGTGCTGAGGGCTTCTCCACCGCGCCCTCCAAGAGCAGCGCCCGCCCCTCCACACTGCGGCCCACGCGGCAGGGACAGCTAACGGTCGGGACAGAGGACAGTGGGCTGGGAGCTGTGCTGGAAAGTCAGCTGACCTCCCGCCAGGAAGCCACACCCACTCGCTCTGTCACCCTCCGGGCCGCTGGGCAGTATGAGTCTCAGCAGTGTGCCCTCCTGGCCAGCCACACGTGGCATCCTGCATGCCACACACAGGGCGCCCACCTGACTTAACCCCCCCCCATGGGTTCCCAGCCGGGCAGCCCCTGATGCCAGTGGAATCTGAGCCCCAGCAGAGTCCGATGGGGCAGCTCTGGCGGCGCTACCCAGGGCCAGGCAGGGCTGGGCCCAGAATGGGTGAGAGGGCTGGGAGGCAGGTGTGCCAGCCCCGGCAGAGGCATAGATGGGCACAGGGCAGGAAGGGAGGCTGGGGCCCAGGAGCGCAGGCGCAAGCTCCCAGGCTTCCTGCAGGCAGGGGCATGAGCAGCTGAGACGAATAAGAGCAGCACTGGGTGGGGAGGGGTGCCGGGGTGAGGCTGAGGCCAGAGGGCCCGGGCGGGAAGGACATCCCAGGCCCGCACAGAGGAAGGCTGGGGGCAGGCCTCCGGGGCCTCGAGTGCCACCTAAGGCCCTAAAACTCAGGCTGCGGGCAGGGGGGAGCCCCAGGTATCTGAGCGAAGAGCAGATGGAGGCCCCCCTAGCAGGGCAGGAAGCTCACGCGGGGGTGGAGGTCCTTGGTGCCGTGTGACTGGCCCCTCTCCGCCCCCAGAACGCCTTCGGCCTGCAGGTGCCTTTCTTCTTCTTCGCCGCCATCTGCTTGCTGAACCTGGTGTTCACCGGCTGCTGCGTGCCCGAGACCAAGGGCCGCTCGCTGGAGCAGATCGAGTCCTTCTTCCGGACCGGGAGGAGGTCCTTCCTGCAGTAGGTCAGCGCCCCGCCTGGGGCCGCACCCTGGCGGCCAGGCCTTCGTGTCGGCCACCAACCGGAACCCGAGTCCAGGAGGGAGCAACCTGCCATCAGCCGGAGACA